AATCCACTTATGGCATTTGCGACACATGCTGCTTTTCCATATCCTTCTCCGATTAATCGGGCCACCTGAAATTGACCGATTGTCCTCCCGGGATGTTCTCTCAACCATTTTTCAACCGATTGGTCATAATAGACCTGGAATGGCTTAAATACTGCCACATCAAGTGGTTGTAAACGGTGGGTGGTATGACCTGGCAGCTGTAAAATAATAACCCCATTCTCGCGGGCCATCTCAATGGCTGCTAAATCTCTCGAATGTGTGGTGTGTCCGTCTAAAACCAAAAGCACTCTATCCTCTTTTGAAGGTGTAACTGCAGGAATTAAATGTTGTAACCAAGTAACAAACAAATCGGCGTTAGTGTAACCAGTATCCGATATTTCGACCAGTGATCCTGGGGGAGCTCCATCTGCCAGCTCTGGCGCCATCCTTTTCCTCTTGAAAATTACCATCGGTGCCACGTATTGACCTGCAGCACTTGCGCAGCATACGAATGTAGTATTCACACCTCTTTCGCCGCTAGCTATGACACCAACCTGCGATTTTCCTTTTTTAGCCAGCACTTTCTGACATCTTTTTTGTACGGTTCGTCGACATTGTATATTTTCGGAGCAGTCAAAGCATGATCGACAACAAGTTTTTCTGAGATATTGAAAAACTCCTGAACATTGCTTCTGTTGAAACCTTTACACCGTGCGATCGAAGTTGATTCTGGTTATCTAAAGGAAAGTTGTGGATGGCGACTCATAAAGCTATAAAACCCTTTTTTTCCAGCCATCCTTGTGATTTTATTAAAATTATGTTTAAGACCATTGCGTTCAGCGAATTCAAAGGCAGCTTTTCTTATTTCTTGAATAGTCACTCCAAAAAAAATGGACTCCTAAATGTTGGCTTTGGGATATTGTATTGGCGACAAATCTCATTAAAACCTATGTTTCCCTCACGAAAAACATTTAAGGCTGCTTTCATTATCTATAAAAAAGTAAAAAAACTGTTACTACATAGCTTCCGTAATCGTACCAGTATAAATGGCCTTAATCGTACCGGTACGATTTAGGCAATCTCTAATGGTACGATCCAGGCAACTTTACACCAAATAAATAAAGATAAAGTTTTTCTGGAAATTATAGAAATAAGGTTATGTTTAAAGTTATCAAAAAGTGTATAAAAGTTGTTAATCTTAAAGGCATACAATAGATTTTAGGCTTAGTCAACTAAAATATCCAAAACTACTTACGGTAGGTCAACCAAACTTTATATCACTTTGCCGCACAAAATAAAACCTTAAACATGTCGGGAGCGATACGCGCTACTGTCAAACTTTTGCTGGTATTACTGGTTGTCAACTTTAGGGTTTCTAATTGTGGTGAAAGATGTTTTACACATAAGCGTAATATCTGAAATATCGACAAGGTACGATTAAGGAGCCAGTACGATATAGGCGACTTTCCCCTATATGATAAAAAAGCCTTAAAACTAAAGACCTAACCAGGGTCGAGTTGTCATTTTTCGTACGTCGTGAGATCGAGCTTTCGAAATTGATCTACATACAACAGTCACAGACGTCTTTAATGCTCAATTTTTCAGATCTTCCGCGATTTCACCCTCACGACTTTTCGTTGAACATTTTCATGGGCTAGCACTGGGCAGTCCTGCCACTGGACAGCTGAACTGATGAAACGCACAAGGCACTTTTGGTTTAAAATATAATAAAGATTTTCCTGTGCTCTTTCTTTTTCCCAGGAGACGTACATACGTTATATGCATACTAAAATACTTTCATTAAAAATATGATTGCCACTACTTTGCATAAATTTTGGGCACACAGAGGATATGTGTGTGCCAAGCAGTGATTCATATATCTACAAATCTCACTAGGCGGCAATATAATCGATAATCGACCTGCTGACACGTGAAAAAGATATCATTTCTTCTAAAATTATCATTATCAGGTAAATAATACGCTGTTCTTTTCAATAAAGTGATCGACTATTTGGGCAGCGATTAAAGGGTAATCTCCCATTAGCCAATTTTTGATCCAGTCTTACTAAAACGCTTTATTATTGGTCATTGTTCATCCGTATAATAGTTTTTGATCTCCAGATCAAGCGAAAGAATATGTCTTTTTAGCTAAACCAGGTGATTTATAAAGAATTTCTTTATTTAATGTGGGAATTAGAGGTCCCCCTTAAACAAATCGGATATTGTTTCACTATTTTAAGAGATATTTAGAAAACATCGACGATATTCATTAGATCCATCACTAGAAAGATGCCTCCTCATTGGTGCATTTTGATCCGGATCAAGAATTTTGACCTCCTGTTAGTAAAATCGGACCTTAATGTTCAATTGCTGACATACTCCCCATCCCCTTTGCTGAACATAGATTTTCGGATGATCCCCCCCTGAAATTTGCTTTGTCGGCGCCCATGGCCTATAGGGGTATTATGTAAGAAACCTAAAAAAACGTAAAAAACCGACGAAATGTCATCTTGCAGACTAGGTAGTTTTTAGTGTGCAAATAGTTCATTCCACGTTTGGTCTCTATGATCGCTGTTCGCTGACGTTTAGGCTACCAAACGAGTTCGCAGCAAGTGTACAACAGCTTGTCCTGAGTTAACATCTTGTAGAAAAACTCTGCGGCACGGGTATTACATATCTTAAAAAGTGAAATTTCGTCAGTTTTTTTTTGACATTACGAAGGTTTTTCTACATTTCGTACATAATAGAAGTGCGGATTTGATAAGACATATTTTCTTGGCACCTTCTACCTTGCGGTTACCTCAGGTCTCTGGTGTATGTGTTATAAGAAGTATTTGTTTACTTTTATAGCTACGCGCTGTTTAAAGGAAAGTCGCAGCTCTATATCACTGCACAATATAATAACTGCTAATTGATAATATAAAATCCTTACCGAGATATTGGTGAAGCTGGTATCCATTGCAATAGGCACTTGTCAATTACAGTGCTATCGATTGCAGCTGGCATCAGGTGGGAAGTGTAAACATTAGCGATAAATAATCATTCGCACATAAACTTCACGGTTATGACTTCTACAATGTCTTTATTGATATGCGGCAGGCAGAAAACCAATTAACTAATGAATTATGGCAGATGTGTTTTTATTACCAGATCACTGCTATTATGGGGAGTCTTGCTGTTTATCCCGAATCGTATATGTGAATGATAAGTGATTATTTACGGCTCAGTGAACACGTTATTGTGCTTCCAAAATACGCATTTATCTATCAGCTTTATGAGCAGTATTTCCGTCAGGAATAGGGCAGCCCCCTCTTGGGACAACGTTTATTATCAAGTTTTGTCAATACAGTAGGCCGGTGAAGGTTAATATCCTAACTAGTTTTTTCTCTACTATTTCCTTCTACCTAATAACAGTTAGAACTAGATTAGCCCTGGAGAAAATATTTGAATTTGTTTTCCCAACCATCAAATTGTGCCAATATGGTTCTTCTTGCTCGTGACAAAGTCTTATCAGTTTTCTTGGGTCATTCTGAACAAAAAAAAGGTTCATATGAACTTTTCTCCAAAGTTTATAGTTCTAGAAACGTAAGCAAAAATGAATTGCAAAATATGTCCTTTTTGACCGCGGAAAAAATTGTGAAATAAAGGAAATTTTATTGTTATCAAGGTTTCCAAGTATTCTCAAACGTCCATTAACAAGCGCGCTCTATGTATACTCTGCGTGAGGGCGCGGTTGATTAACAACTAAAAAATTAGGCAAGAAGATTAGCTCTATGCGCTTTCGAAACAATTTCTAATACAATTTTCCACGTAGTGCATTGATATCAAATAGACGTAGTTTTGAAACAGAAACAGTAATGCACTAGCTATTTGGACTTCTCATGAAAAAATATTTCCTCACATTGTAGCTGATTTCTCTACATACACTATATAACTATATATATACTATACAATACTACCTCATGACAACAAGTATCCTCATTAATTTGCACTGTAAGCATAGAGCTTGTATATAGTATATAGATAATATCGCGCCCACCTCGTATGTGCATATCGCGTCACATCTCCGTCTGCTGCCTGCTTTTATGAGTCCCTCAGATCCACTGCCAAAGATGCAATATTTACAACCCCGTGGCGTACGATAAGTGCGTCAGATAGATTCGCGATCCGTCTGCTGAAAATATCTGTTAATCCTCGAAGCAGGTAGATGTTTGCACGCTCGCTGAGATTCCTGAGATGCATATAATGAGAGTATATCTCGTTAAAGTTTTAAGAGCAAATGTGTGCGAAAATCTATGAGGAGTGAAATATGTCTAATAGGTGCATAGCTTTACCGAGGTTAGAATTGTATAAATAGAATTAATATTAGGAATAGGCAGCAACGGTGGCTTAGTGGCAGATGCTACGGTCTCCTAATCAGTCGCAGTTCGCTGCGCGTGTTCGAATCCCGTCCCCAGAGAAATTTTTCTCTTGGCAATGGATGCTGTGATTGTGGTAGACGGTCTCTGACTGGCGTACGCTGAGGTACCACCTGGCGGATCTCGTAGGCGGGGCCACAATGTGTGCATGCTGCATGCACACGTGTTCCTCCGCTAGAGTCCATGTGGTTTCTCCTCTTTCCCCTGTATCCCCTATAGATCCACGATAATAATGATAAATATCATTTTTTCACCCCTAAAAACTAAAACGTCAAAGAACAAGGTTTAAGTCATTTTAATTTTTTTTTTTCATTTTTGGCCCTTACCTTGCTGCCCCAAATTTTCTGCGATCACAATACTTCCTCGTCAGTAGGCCTGAACAGTGAAAATTAATCCTGTCTTTTCAAAAACTAATGGCCCTTTAATACTATTTATTATGGTAATAAGTTAAATCTGTTGTTAGGCAAATATTGAAGCGAACAAGCTATTGACAACACTTTGTTATCAGAGTGGATTTTGTTATAGACACACAGATAACACCCACATAGTAGGGTGTTGAACTTTATGGAGATGCACTTTTACATGTCTCGAAAAATCACTTACCACCTGTTAATACCTGTATGCAGCAAGCAATAGCTAACTTACTTTTACCTCTACCATCATGTAGATCAGTCACTGTGTCGTTATGGAAATAATAGCCAATTAGAGCTATAACCCGTAATTAAGCAAAAACATCGTTAGTGTATGTTTTTAACGTATTGATGTTTTTACTTCTCGCATCAATAGGCAGGGAAGTATTGCGATCCCGAGATATTTCAAAAAATAAGATATTATGTCCTTTGGATGTTTCATAACCTGTACATCATGAAAAACCATGTCATCTATTTCCGTCGATCTGTCCTCTAGTGCTTGGCTTGTAACTTGGAAAGTAACGCTGCGATTTTGATAAAATTCCGACAAAAAGTTACTACTACGTCAAGGACGAAACAGCTTTGTAGGTTTCGAATATTAATCCAAAAGGACTATGGGAAAAAAACGAAAATAATAAAGATCGCTCTAACTTCATTTTTCGATGTTTCAGAGAAAATTTGGAGGGGTTGAAAATTGGAGATTATTCCTGTGTGTCAGCTCTCAAATATGAATGATCTAATCCTTACAGCTTTATTACACAACATTTTTTTTATGAAATACATTTGCGGGATAGTCACTCCTTTCCCTTTTTTCTGGACACTGTCTAATACCCATGAAGGTCATCGTCAAGGTCATACGCGAATACATACTTCAGCGTAAAGTTTCTCGCACCTTACATTTCTGGTGTCAAAAATAGGGGTTTCATTTGAGAAAATTGATGAGACTTTTCATTCGTTACAACTCTGTTCTTCAACATTTTTCTCTAAGAAACCTATTTTTCGGATACCTTGATCTAGCAATACTTTTCGATGACCCTGTATATTTTCGTGGATATAACCATGTTTATAACCTTCTTAGGATAAGTGCCCAATTTTTACGTATCTCCGTATTGTAGTTCGGATGTGATGGTGGCAGTCTGGACAGACATTGACATTTATATAATGTAGATGAAAAAAGCCCAATTATGTAGTTCGTTGATGGTTCTCAAAAAACCCATGTCTTTTTGATGACACTGTGTATAGACAAAATTGCACTACATGGACAATTATTGTACTAGAAGCTGTTTCGAAGGTGTGAAAAGTATATATTGTTACAGTTTCTTTTCATGGTCGACTAAAAATTAACTATATCTTGACAACGTGAATATTAAAAATATCGAAGAAAACACTTATTTTGGTATAATAATTTTATGGTAGAAAATGGTACTCTACTCTATCTCGTTAAAGGTAATCTTTTATAATCTCTGTCGACCGTAAATACGAGAGCTGAAGGTGACTTGGTGCTATTTCCTATGCTCTCGTGTAGGAATTCAATGGCCCACAACCCGCAGTAATGATATTTCACACCCAGCGCCTGACATTTATCGGGTTGTGAAGATTTTGATAGAAATCGGCCTCCATTAATGCGGTTTGTTCTCACCCTCCTGGGGATTTAGCCAACGACACTAAACCGTCGAGTTGGTAATTGAGGGGAACCGTCTGCATTGATTCTCCCAGGCAAATTTAAGTAGGACTCACGTCTGTAAGGAGCAGTCCCCATTTATGTGAATCCTCATGGTTCGAGGTAATTATGATTTTTTTTACTTTGCTATTCCTCAAAAAAAAAAATAAGCATAAAACTATGAGTAACTTTATTTGTGCCAATTTAGGCATTCTTATGTAACACTAGGGTTATATATTAACCATTTAATTATCCACTGTTTAGGTCAATATTGATTTCGTCAAAAGTTATTTAGTAGTAAAAAGAGAGAATTGCTTTGGATTTCTCATTGGTAACATTTATATACTGTTCTGCATCATAGTACACTGATAATAAATGAAAAATAATATAGTGCAATTTTTAGATTGCTGTAGCTTCTGATTTTGGTTGTTGATTTACTGAAATATGAGTCAGCCATGCTCACGAGGTAAAATATTTCTGTTGGTTTTAAGTAACATTTTAATTGCTTTTCCTATAAGTTCAGTGACGACATGAAATATTTTATCTCGGGGTCCTTATGTTTTTTACAGGTATCTGATTATTCTAATTTAGTTCAGGTTAATTTAAAAATTTTGCTATCGCTAGTGCAATCACGACTTTCTTTGCACACCGTGATTGAACAGCCGCTTTGTTTTAGTTTTAAATTCTTGAATTGATGTAACGCAAGACTAAATGGTGGTAGTTTAAATTTTTCATTCTTGGAAGCAAATTAAAAGTGGGGATTATTAGACAAATCGTTATTTCGGTTTTCTACCTTCGGGCTCTACCTACGGGCTCTACCTTCGGGTATTCATTTAATACAAAGATTAATTTTGGAGGATCAGATATCACTTACAATTCAACTATCATCATTGCTAAGTTCCATCCTGGACATAATAGCTGAGCTCGCAAGATTAGCTAAGGTGTTGATATAAAGCACCACGTAATACAAACTTAAAAAGTCTGTGGCTCATGTAATTTTGTCCAAAGCCACCCCCCCCTACATACATACGTACATACCTTCGGGTATTGAGTTCCATCTGGGACTTCCTGCCCTCGGTTGCCTACCTGTGACAGCCAAGCACCTGCCTAGATGATTTTTTTTATTTTAGTTTTTACTGGAAACCATTTAGCTGAGGGGGAAGGGTAGTATAAAGTTATTTCCTTTTGCTTCTCCTCCAAGGCGACTTAATTTTTTTTTACTTCTTTTGTTCAATAAATGTTTGTGTACCTTGTGAGTTTTTATCTTCTTTAGCGCCAGAGACACAACATTGGTTACTTGTTATTTCTTTTCCTGGTTCTTAGAACTAGGTGGCGCCCCTGAGGGATCATTAACTACCGACCGAGCTCAGTTACATTCTTTACCAAGTTATACGAGGGCTGTTTGATAAGTCAGTGCCTTATTAAATAAAAAAAATGTTTTTCGGCAAATACGTAAGCATTTTATTTCTCAACATAATATCCTTTTAGCTCGATACATTTAGTCCAGCGTTTTTCCAATTTCTTAATTCCTTCCGAATAGTAGTTTTTATCAAGGCTCCCAAAATATGCGTTTGTTTCAATGATGACCTCTTCACTCGACCCAAATTTCTTACCACCCAGCCATTTTTTCAGGTTTGGAAATAGGAAGTAGTCGCTGGGGGCTAAATCTGGAGAATAGGCTGGATGGGGCAGCAGTTCGTAGCCCAGTTCATGAATTTTTGCCATCGAGACTACACACGTGCGTTGTCTTGATCGAACAGCAATTTTTTTTTCGCCAAATGCGGCCGTTTTTGCTTCAAAGCAACGTTGAATCTGTCTAACAGCTCTGAATAGTACTCTCCCGTGATCGCTCTGCCCTTCTCAAGGTAATCGATGTAAATGATACCGCATGCATCCTAGAAAACTATAGCCATAACCTTGCTGGCTGACAGACCCACCTTCTTTGGAGCACGCTCACCTTGTGAAACCCACTGTCTTGATTGTTCTCTGGTTTCTGGTGTATTGTGATGAATCCATGTTTCGTCTACAGTTACAAACCGGCGCAAAAAGTCGATCGGATTGCGGCTGAACATCGCCAAACGTTCCCTTGAAATGGTCACACGGTTGCGCTTACGGTCGAATGTGAGCAATCGCGGCACCCATCTCGCGGATAGTTTTTTCATATCCAAGTATGAATGTAAAATGTGATGTACCCGCTCAGTAGAGATGCCTACAGCCTCAGCTACTTCACGTATTTTTATTCTCCGATCTTCCAATATCATCCCATGGATCTTATCGACGATTTCTGGTGTGATGACCTCTTTTGGGCGACCTGAACATTCGGCATCACTTGTGCTGGTTCGATCACAACGGAACTCAGTAAACCACTTCTTCACCATTGAAATAGATGGTGCAGAGTCCCCATAGTATTTGTCAAGCCTTTCCTTGGTCGCAGTGATGGTTTTTACGCAAAAAATAATGTTTAATTAGAACACGAAATTCACTTTTCTCCATTTTTGTTAGAATTTATGAGACTGTCTACTTTCAACGGCTGCCAAACCCAAATGAAATGACATAGCTTATTCAAATGTTGACAGTTGTCATATAAAAGATAGCAGTTGACGGCAGCAGTGTTGCATTCAAAGTTACCGCGCGGGAAATTCAAAAAGTCACTGACTTCTCAAATGGCCCTCGTATCTTAATTTACGCGGGATAACAACATTCAATTAACTTGACGCCATTTTTTTACTGGTTTTATTTTTCATCACTCAGAATTGGCGTTTTCGATGTTATGTGTAACACTTTGAATTAGAGTCAATTTTGCGATTTAATAAATACGAGTTTAAGGGAAAATCAAACATTAGATTCATCGTATTTTTTTTATTATGTATATCAGCCAAGAAAGCGAGATATAAAACTGTTCTTTTGGCAAAGCTGCAATATCTATTTACAATAAATATAAATACTTTAATCCTAATAACAAAACATTGTGATCCTTAAGTCTTAGCTATGTCTGAGATCACATAAGTCAAATTAATTAATCTTACTACTACCTAGAAGTTCTATACAGTTACTATGTACATTTTTACACGTACTTTGAGTATACTGTTGAAAATCTTCATTTTTACTTGGATACTTTACGACATTTTGGAAGAGTACGCACTTGAAGTAAGTCGTAAGAAATTATGCGTCCTCTTGGTTTCTTCACTGTCACTTGGACTATATAGGAACTTCCTGCTTTCAAATACTTGACATTTTCAGTGATGACTGACCTAAAACATTAGAACAACTTCAGATCATTCTCTATTTGTTAGGTACTCTTATCCATCCGGTCTTTCTTGGTCGGTATAACCAAGTCATGTACCTGTATTAATGACAGATCGGGGTGGGTCATGCGACATATTCTCGCATGCAACAGTAGAATGTTATTCTTGTGATTCCCGTTATCGTTTGTACTTTTGACGATTTAAGACGATTGTTGAGAAAAGGTGATGAATGCTAAATAAAGTGAGTATTTTCAAGCAACTCATACTCTCAATTTGTCATTTGCTGTTCTCGACTGCCTCATTCATTGTCACACGGTTGTCGCTTCACGCTTCAGAGGCTCAAGACCATTTTCAGAAAAAAATGTATAGGAGTTGAAAATTGGGGATTGGGAGTTGTATGGGGTGGGAGAGGGTACGCCTCAACCTCATTCTGGTGTATATACAGGGTGGCCGATATGTAACTGACTGGTTTGTATCTTGAATATTTGTGAAATGAAATAAAATACGGCCATTTTTTCATCTTAATGTTTTATTGAAACTTCGGAATTATGCGTGAAGAAGAATATCAGACAAATAACCACCTCCAGAAGCCGCGGAAACCTGAGCCCTGTTGATTTCATTTTCCACCACTTTTTGGTAGGTTTCGGGAGGAATATTTTCAATCGCTTCCGTAATATTGTTAAAGGTTAAATTATTGGATAGCGGTAGCGCTCGCCAGTGACAGTAAGGGAATTCCGCCTCTAGAGCCGCGTAAACCTGAGCCCTCTTAATTACATTTTTCAGCACATTTTGGTAGGTTTCAGGAAGAATATTTTCAATCGCTTCCGTAATATTGTTCTTTAGCTGCTCTACCGTATTTGGTTTGTTAGCATAAGCCCTATTTTGCTAAAATCCCCATAAAAAAAGTCGGGATCCGTTAAATCCGGTGACCTTGGTGGCCAGATGACATCACCATATCGAGAAATTAAACGTCCCGGAAATATTGTTCGCAAAAGATTCATTGTTTCCCTGCTGTGTGACAAGTTGCTCCGTCCTGCTGGAACAACATGTTTTGCAGGTTAAGTTGTGGGATTTGACAACCCACAAAGTTTTGCACCATATCACTGCCGCGCTCGCCAGTGACAGTAAGAGAATTACCTGCAACGTTTTCAAGGTGGTAAGGTCCAATGACAACTCCATTCCAAACACCAAACTGTGACTCGACGTGGATGTACTGGTCGTTGATAGATGACACGAGGGTTCTCCAATGTCCAGATACGACAATTCTGCTTATTAACAAATCCGTTCATATCGAAGTGGGCTTCCTCGCTCATTATCAGTTGTCGGTAAAAATCGTTATTTTAGCTATAAAGCTGAAATATTGCATGACTGTATTAGCGGTGAATTTCATGGTCACTAGGCTGTAGTCCTTTTGTTTAAACTAAATTTTGTATGGCCGCAAATGCAAGTATTTTTTTGACATGGCGCATAATGACGTGAGACGAATACCCACTTCTTCAGAACGATGTCTGTTAGACGTCTCAGGGCGCTCCACTACACTTTCACGGACTCTCTCGATATTTTCCGGAGTAGGAACGGTTCCAACACGGCTCGACTTTGGCAAGTCCTCAACTTCACCTGTTTGTTCAAATTTTCGCACCAACGAATGGTGTTGACACTGGGCACATTATTTCGACCGAAATCTTGTCGTAGCTTCCGAACCGTTGCAACAATCGACTCATTGCTTAAGTAAAACGTTTTAACAATACGGACGCGTTGTGGGATTGTGTAGCGCTCTATGATGAACTGGACACATGTGCTTTAAACAACTACTACGGCGCCACCTACTGAAAGGCGCATATCAAAAATGGCGCGCAATGTAATTCAGCCAGTTACCTATATATTGGCCATCCTGTATGTCATGTCATATGTATCATCGTGGCCGTTTTCCATTATTCACCATTTTCTTTCCAAAACTACACCAAAGGGGTGCTATGATATAGCTTTGGTAATGCCTAACTTACTTGTCACTCTGCGCAATGTCCTTGCAATATTTAACGACGTAGTCATCAGCCTTCATAATTTTTCCGTTTTTTGCCGGACATGCCATGCTGTTAACTTGTTCTAGTTCCCCTTCCCTTGCGCTGATGCAATAGTGGCTTACTGCCCTTCCTGGGACAGGAATCCATCCTATTGTGACGCTGTCGCAAGTTCTGAGTGGCTTGTATTCGTTTAGGGATGTCGTATGTGGCATGGGTGGAAGAAGAGCCTTAGAAAGCTGCTTGGTCGATGCTAATATCTAAGAAAGAATGAATGTTGAGGAAAATCAAAACTTGACTTGTCACTTTTCATCTAGAAATTGGACAAAGTAAGGCCCGACAGATAATAAGATATAATTGACCATAATGATATACGGGGTGAACGTACAACCTCCAATTTTTATAGCTACACTCAAAAATTATTAAAAACCCTACAAACATGAGATAGTGATCTAGTAATCTAGCTTTGGTTAGTCCGACCAGACAGCCAACCAGGGGCAGCTATTTCGTGCTGTCTCGCAACTCCTCAGCATGGTTTAGACAGTTACAATGGGCAGCTTCCTTGTCCACGTTCGTAGTGGTTGATTTTGGCAACGGATGTAATTTTGTGCTGTCTTATTTCGACGAGATAATGATGTTTGAATATTTTGTTGTCTTTTTATACTAACAACCTGTTTACCTCTTGTATACGTCTGATATTTTGTTTGTAATTATATAATTTGATTATATACGCTTGAAAAGACAACTCCACTAAATAAGAAAACACCAACATACCTCTATTCCAGCGGATTTGTCTAGTTCAGCTCTTTCAACAGCAAATACTTTGATGTAATATCTGCTACTTTCCGTGGGAGAATCTATGGTTATCTTTTCGTAGTTCAGTACGTTTCTCTTGGCGACTATTACACTTCCTTTCTTCAATACCTCTACATATACAACAGATCCACAAGGTATGATGATAACTTTCAACTGTTTTCCGGGATTCTTAGGAATCTACAACAGAAATTTGCAGGTTAAGCGCATAGTCATCGAGCGTATAAAGGACCCCACACCGACGCGATATACCGATAGCGGTAGCGTCAGCGTTAAAAATCGCACTTAGCGCGATAGCTGCACATCCACACCACCGCGGTACGGTACCCGGTACGTTTTCTTATCTGTGCGATATTCTCAAACGTTTTTCGATTCCTTAGTCATATGTCTTCTGATAAAAAAGTATTATCATTATGGTCCTTAGCAGAAGATAAAAGGCGGAAACGAAGTATTTTGATGATAATCGTTAGTTAATAATAATTAATAATTGTGTTTAAGGAAAAAGGAGAAATGGATACATGATATCAATAAACTAAGAAAGGTATATGGAGTATATCATACTTTGATGATCGAATTACCTAGAGATCCACAACGTTTTTACGTATACCTTCGAATGACTTCGAATTTTATAGTCTTCGAGACTTAAATCGGGTACTTCCCAACTCGTTCAATTAATTTCTTCATCGTGGACATCGTGAAAAACGATATGCGACATGAGCCGCGTCAGCAGCGTTTCTGAAATGAAACACTGCCAAGGCGTTAAAACTGAGCACCGCATGGACAGCGTTGCGATTATCGCTATCGCCTCACCACGACGGTGTGGGGGATCCTTAAGTACCAACCCCCAGATCTCTAATGTGGGGACAGAATGTGCGCATGTCAGATTTCTATCTATTAGATATTTTGAATGCATACCTTATACCTGAAGACTACCTTCCCATCATACTTCTTCAAATTGGCATAGGCAGATATTCCATTCTTTAATCTTATTGGCTTAACTCTTCCATCAAAGATAAGAGATGCTGATCCATATGGGTACGTAAAATTATTTTGCCCATCAGTTGCAAATACCTGGAAATAGTAGTTTTTTCCTTGCTTAAGGTTCAGTGTCGTATACTGAGTACTCCTTCCTACACATCCTATTATTGGGAAGGTATCATCTGAAACGAGAAACCTGATAAAATTATGACAAGGAAATGGCGTCAAGTAGATTGACTCTGCACTTCCTATGCAACGCAGTTCATAAAAGATCAAGTTGAATACACGTTAAACCCTCTAAGAAAGAAATTAGTTACGAACATGCGCAATAAAGAAATCCGTCGATGAAACATACAATTTTCCCCGCCCTTATAGAAAAAATGTGTCTATCATTCTGAGTTTTAAAGACTAATGTACGGGGAAATCGACAATGTGTGAAATATGGCTATTAGGTCCGTAGAAATCCTGCAGCCTCTCTTGCTGTAAGCCTCCAAGGAGTATTGATTATACGTCAGCAAGTCATCTCCGTCTACCTCAATGTTTGTTGTAGATTATGACGGAGCGATTCTGTTTACAATAGGCGATTCTGATAAACTATTGCCTAAACTATTGCGCATGGTGGTGCAAGTAAATGAGCCTTTCTCGTAGTTGGCGTCTGATGGTGGGTGCTGAGCCCATCCAGACTGTTGGCGTGTCTGTACAACATGCGAGTTAGCGCAGGCGGCTCTGTTCCATTGGCGGTAATAAACGGGCTTTTGGGAAGTTTCCTAGAGTACTTCGGCTAGGAGATGGATGATGATGCACCCAGGCTCACAACAGGCGTTGGCTTGATTCTGGGGTAGTGATCCAACATGTTTCGCGGAGGCAGGATTTTGATCCTCGGTCTTCCTAGCACCGAGAATGGCAGGAAACAGGAAACCTCTTGTGCTGGACCTTTTGTGCTGGATTCCCATCTTTGAGTGGAGGACTAGCTTGTCGCTATCCTCCACTATGGCAGCGAATCCAGGTTCTTGCCGGCTGCAAGCCCGAGGAACTCCTTGTAGATGGGGCAACTACTGGTCCGTATCGGGCTAAGGATTAGCTTACAGACACACTGACAGATCGACTGAAATGAGTGACATGTCATATAATATTCTAAAAACACCATATATCAATTCAGAAATTTTTCGCGGCTTCAATACTCCTCGCCTACTGTCGTGGGAAATCAGAATATTTTTCTGAGCGGATGCGAAGATACTTTATGGACTAATAGAAATATGAAATATTGCCGTGTACATATACAATTATATGTAGAAATACATACCAGTTCTGGTGGAATGATTCTGAGTAGAAGGTTGCCAGCTTATGACCGTCTGCGATGCCGCCACTGGTCTGCTAACAGGTGGCAGAATTCCAAATTTATCTGCCTGCGCTGCACAAAGTGATCCGTAGGTTTTCTGGTCGTGTACTACAGCGCAGTAGGTTGTACTCTGAGGATCCACCAAGCTATCAGGAAGCAGATACATTAAAACAAAATCACGATATACTGATAAGAAATATTATTGGTTACGCTTGATAAGAACCCGCGTAAAAGTAGGTTGTATGTGCCTAAATTATGTATGTGCGGCTCAAGTCAACGGCCCATACACAACGGCTAACTAAGAACATGTATAACAAATTAATTTAGTGGATCAATTCACAAAGGTCCATACAGTTGATAGCTCCCTCCCTCAATTTACAACGATGTGATCTAGAAAAGTGGAGGGTTAATAAGATTGGATTTCTGCCTAATTCTAATTTGAATGAAAACGTTCAAATTCGGTTCCTCTCTACTAAAAAAACTAAGTAAATTTCACCCTCAGCAGACCACCTTCATTCCCCATAGTGTCCCCCAACCACCCCTGAAGACGGTAAAAATACCATCACCCAATCATTTTTTAAAACATTCGTCTCTGGCGAACTAATATTTTCTGAATATGTACTACTAAGCCATTTTAACTATTTTCACTCTTATCGATCAACTTTTGCCTTTCTTTTGTCGAAGCAGCCGCGCAGGCAGAAACCTGAATGCCAGGGCATCGCGACTTAAAGGTACTTGGTTAATCCAATTTTTGAATTGCTTAAGATTAGTGGAACTGATAAAAGCCTCCTCAGGTAGAATGTTCGTTAACGAATAGTCATCGATCAGTCGGACAACCCTTCTTTGAACACCCAAACTTGTTAGCACTACTTGAAGCAAACGTCTTATCTGCGCCTTGTACAGAGTGAGGAGGTTATGTGGAGAAAATTGCTTCTTAGCCCCAAACAAATAGGCTAGCTTTTTCCCAGCAGCTGCCGTGTTCGTTTCGACTAGCCGAAATCAACGGCTCTTTGGTAGAAACAGGATAAACGTTAGTCGCTTCTTGTTAGTCAAAACACGATACTGTGTTTTGGAAGCACTGAACTGTACCCAAGCAGTGATAACTACCAGGTCTTTTCTCAGAGAGAAAGTCGCTGCTAGTCTTCTTTTCTCCAGTTCACCAGCAGAGATTGGCTTGTCACTCTGAATTCCTGCATGTAAGGTACTGTCGTCAGCAAAGCCATGAATTGGATTGATGGTACAGGAAAGGAAGTCGTTGATATGTAATGGGGTCAATATCGGAGTCAAAACCGATCCCTGGGAAACACCCACGTTGGTATTGCGAGATGAATAGGAGAATCAGTCAATTACGAAGGATATCTTGCGGCGAGAGAGAAAGTCAGCCACCCATCTGCAAGGCATCTCTGGGTGGCCATAGGATGGAAGTTTGTGTCAGACGCTAGCACAGCTGATCGAACGCTTTCGTGGCATCAAGAGCAACTGCATGAGTCTCACCAATGAACTTACTCCACTAATGTGTGACGTGATCTAAAAGGTCCCCCGTGGATCGCTGGTGCCGGAAACGACACTGCCTGTCACCAGTCAAGCCGTGACGTTCAGGGTGTTCAAGATGCTCCTGATTTATACCCCTCTCCATCCCTACTTATAATATAAAGCAGAGCTATAGGCCTGTATTTGCTCTTTAAGATGGGCTGGATATGAGCAAATTTCCAGCTTTCTGGGAAAGTCTTCGTAAGAAATCAGGAAGATACGCGAAAGAAGTGGAGCAATCTCCGCTGTACATCTCTTCAGTAAAACTGCACGAATTAAGTCCGAACCATAAGCTTTGTTGATATCGAGCGAAAAGATCACCCATCTTGCCTGAAGGTCTTCTCGCATAGTGAACCCTTAAGGCGCAATTCCACTGAGGCAACTTTTGGGCAACATGCAGCATACGGCATTGACGCATGTGACACACTGTCTTTCCATAGAGGCAACACAAAGCGACGAAAAAAATATCTCCTTGCCACATGCCACAATTTGCCCGTTGTTGCCTCTCGAGGGCGCCATCAGCGACATGAATCCACGTGTTGATGAGTGTCGCCGGCTATCCAAACCCGTTCGGATCGAGTAGGCGACAAAATGGAGTGGACCAATGAAGAAACATTATCTTTAATTGAACATTACCATAATTCGGGTGAATTATGGAATAACAAATCGGAAAGATATAAGGATGCACGACTAAAGCAGGATAAATTACAGGAAGCGCAAATAGTTGGTGGTTACTGCCACTTGCTAGCGTACAGTACCTTCAGCCTTTTAGGCGTATACGATTGTTTGCTTTTTATCCAGCTGTCTCCTTAACTTACTACTAGTAGACGAGCAGACTTATACCGCACTGACGAGGGCTAATGAGCCCGGTTGGTTATGGTTTTAGGGGGACAAGAAGGAAACATCTTCTCATTTTCTTTCCATAGTTGGTTTATTTATTAACGTTTATTTCCTTTAAATAGAAAAATACAACTGTTCGGTATTGGAAATTGCTTGATTCAACTAGAGGCAACACTAGGAAACAAGTAGCATGTCACATGAGGTTCATTGTTGCCTCAGTGAAATTGCGCCTTTAGAAACGAAGGCACTCGGGCGTTGGGGGAACATCCATGGTGGAGTTGGAGTGGGATGTAAGAAAGTCGTATTTGAGAAACTCTTTATTCACTCTAATTTTATGAAATTAAGAATTTTATATGCTACCGCAAGAAAATTAGGATTTAGCATATTGATCGCAGTAGTTTATGCTTGCCAAGAACCGAGTAAAATGGACAGCCTTGAAACACTTCTATCCTTTGGTTTAATATTAAAAATACTCCACGCAATATTCAATAATTATTTGTGTATTAAGAGCGCAAATTGCAGTTTTGCTACTCGAGAGAGAGAGAGAGAGAGAGAGATTACTATTTAGTCCATCTTTTATTCGAATATTTGTCCGTACTGGAGCGCAAAAAACATACGGACCTTGCACGAAACGATAGCTCGCTGCAGCGGTGCCTCGTAGATGTAGAAGCGGACAACGTTATCACATGGTGGTAACCAGTTGGGCAGGGAGAAATGTCTATGGACTAATTGTATGAGCCTGTTTGACTGACTTAATATATGTTCAATCTCTGTTATACATTTCCATATCTCAATTTTGTCTCAGAGGATTTACATTGCACCGAACTTAATCCTTTATTAACTGATGACGGCGTTGTTCAGGGAATGAAGAGCCAACCCACTTGACGCCATTTAAGCTGTCATTTACAGTCAGTCGTACCAGTCAACAAGCAAGGACATTATTTTGGTCGATTGAAGACAAAAATACTTTTGGGTGGCTCAAGTATGTATTCTTCCATGGTTTTTGGAGGTTACGTTGCAATTTTATATGAAATACGTAAACTGATTGAGCGGAGCATAGCTTCCTCAAGAAAAATTGCAGACTGCGTAAGCCGGTACTAAACGCAGCTGCTACTTTTTCTGTACACACATATAAACTGAGACATAGAGGGCCGTTGCTTTCATTCACCCTCTGACAATACAGCTACAAGTTTAAAATACAGACTGTCGGCAACGTAGCTGTGTATTCAGGCAATGCTACGTGCTATATCGAAGATCACCAAGGGTAAACTGAAATCGCACGGCCATGACAACCAAGTCGTTATACTGACAGTGACATACATGTATCTGGAAGACTCTTACGTTGACAAGAAAATTTTCAAGACGGTGAGACAAAACTAAATAAACAAAATTAGGCAATATTACTACCTAAACTAAAAGTTTAATAACAACATTTACGATTGGAAATTATTAAACGACAATGGAGCTCCTTCATCTGAAGTTTTCAAATAAAAACGTGCTACACCCTTTTTCCACCCTAAACGATGAAAAATGCACAGCTTACAGCGCTTAAAACACAGACTGCGCCTGCTTCAATGTGTCTGTCGCTCTTCTGGCCGAAGCGGGTTCTATTCGCGCTCTCTGTGCTTGAACCTGAACTGGTCTGCGTGCGCGTAAAATCCGCTTGTCTGACAAATATTAGGCAGAGTCGTTCTACTGACCGTATAGTGTGCTTTGGTTTCCACGCTAATCGCGTCCAATATAATCGTATCCCTCGGAATATAGACTGCTATGCGTGTCGAGATTACAAGTAGGTATTGCGTAAGGTCAAGATCAGAGTGATTAATAAGGCATAACGTTGCCGCGATGACCATTCTAATTGCTGCTGAAGCTTGAATCGGAATGGTCAGATTATGCGGTCACTTTTTGCAGAAGCTTTGTAAACACAGACAAACAGGCTACGTTACTGGAATAGAATGCCTCATTGTCGAGAACGGTACAGTGAACTCTATGGAACTTGCTCATCGTCACAGATCTGTGCCATTTAAGGAAGACACAGACAGGATGAACATAACGCGTATTTGTGGACATACCACTAGAGTACCTGTAACTAGATGTTTAAAGAGAAACGATAAACGTAAATAAGCATATCCGTTTATCATGGCTTGCTGCATAGTTTTTTGCAACGAACAAATCTAGCAAATATCATCATACCATAGTAATATAATCGCTCTTAAAAGATTAAAAGATGTTTGTAGTTGAAACCTTTTCTTTGCACCTACTGGACCGACTACAAACTGCAAAGCTTTATTGTCCTTGCCATAGTAGCACCTTGTGTGAAGATATTGTCTAGATCCAAGTGGTAGCGGTCAGACCGATTGACAGAGATAGACCGAAAATCAGGAAAACTGAAAAAAAATTAGCGACCTGGTTCTTCATTACAACGTTGTTTTAATGTCACTCCTGTTCATGTTCCTGTTTCAATTGCTGCAGTTGTAAGTTGTTGGCTTAGTTAGACCTTTAATAAGTGCTGCACCCGTTCTACCTTCCTTATTTTATATTTTCTAGACCACTCGGTTTTTTCAATTTGTTAAGTAACGATTTCAGGCATAACCGTCTTACCTTGGTCGCCACCTTAGTGTGACACCTTTCCTTCTTTGTCTTTGTATGATCTTGATTTTCTGTAGTCGAGCACTCTGTATGGTCTTTGGACCCCCCTCTTCTGTGCTTACGTAGATGTGTACATAGGTGTCCATCTCTTGAGCAAGAAGTTGGAGCATGTAGAGGCCTTTTACAGCAGGAAAGTAAGATGTAGACATACCAGTTGACACTTTGAGGTTATGAGTCCTTGTGTGCTTATCTGAATTTTTCACTGGAAAAGACAAATAGAGTTATTTTGCGTTGCGCTAGCAAAAAACTATACAGGTATAATAATTATGATAATAATATTTATTCGCCAAAATACAAAGCTGTTTGAAAATGCGGAAATAAATATGGAAACTCCGCAAAAGGCACTGTTTATAGTGTGTATAACAAGTATAAATAGTTCTTAAAAGTATTTGCATAATTTTGAATGTTGAGGTTTAAATTATGGTCATTCGCTTCAAGTGCTAATCCAATATTTTAATTTTCGTCTGAATTGTTTTCCAAATGTAAGTGTCCCTATTTCTTTAGATACTATATTGTATAATTCAGCTGCTAAGAATTTAACCCATTAACGCCCAAATTAAGCTTGAACATGGAAAACGGATATTATGCATATAAGGTAGGTTATTAGGACTAAAATAAAAACTGAAGATCATAAAACCATATATATTTTATTATTCTTTCCAAAGAAACATCTGTACTCATTTGAGTATAATGGGCGAAACCGTTTATTTTGTATGATGTAACTTGAAGCAGGCACGTTCAGTACGTAGTGTTGACGAACCCTTGAATGGCATACTGTATATAATAATAATAATAATAATAATGCCTTTATTATCTGCAGTGAGGCGAAGTTTAGCCAGACGGCTACTCCTCCACTTAACCCCAAAGCAGAGAAAAAAGAAAGAAAAATACATACACATGTTACAAAAAAAAGTAATTAAGAACAACATAGTTTCATTAAATGAACGACAGATACACAAAACAATCAGGAAAAGACAATCATATACATATATAAACACAGAGAACTAACTTGTCTCCAGCAACTGATTCTTCATTAATTTCTTAAAAGAAGAGACTGGCTTGGATCGATGCGAATGGTTAAGAGCATTGTAATGTTTAACAGCATTATAGGTATAACTCCTTTCAAAGATAACAGTATTGTGGAGCGGCATATTAAAATTAATATTAAATCTAAGAGTCCTTGGTACAAAGTTACGACGAGGTATCAATTTGCTAAAAAGATAGGCCGGTCTGTTTGTTAGCAGAACTTTATGAGTTAAGACGTTCAATAAATATAAAAATAGTTTATCAATTTTCAGCCAGTTGAGTTCTCTGATTTTATCCGAAACGTGACTGAACCTACGGAGACCAAATATAAACCTACAGCAGCTGTTTTGAATTTTCTGAAGCTTACATTTGTTATTATAATCTAAACATGGATAATAGAGGACAAGAGAATAAGATATAATTGACAATACAAGAGTTTCGCAAAGCTTTTTACGGGTTTTAAAATTTAAAATATGTCGACTTGAATGTAGAAGTTTCAAGCGCATATACGTTACTCTCGACAAATATGAAACGTGATGATCAAACCTCATGTTTTTGTCGAGAGTTATTCCGAGGTTTTTAGTATAGTCAACAAGAGGGATGAGTGTTTGATCCAACACAATATTAATTCTCTCCTTCACAACTGGATAGGAATTTTTCGAACAAAACAACATAGCAGTAGTCTTCTTAGGATTTATTTTAAGACAGTGTTTCTTGCAATAATCGTTCACGTTAGTCATGTCCAAATTGATTTTGAAAGAAACCTCGTCAACCTCTGACGGATCAAAGGCAAACACCAACTGAGTATCATCCGCGTAAGTATGCATGGCTGAATGGACTATACAATCTTGCAAATCGGCAGTGTATATCAGATATAATAAGGGACCAAGCACAGAACCCTGAGGAACTCCTGAAGGAACCGGCTTCGTAGTGGACATGCCCTGTTCAGTTTTCACAGTTTGTTGCCGATCAAGCAAGTATGACTCGAAGAACTTTACAACTATATCTGACATACCATAGTAAGACAATTTACTCAATAGTATCTGGTGATTGACCATGTCAAAGGCTTTCGAGAAATCTAGCAGTATCAATACGGTGTTGATGTGATTATCCAAATTATAGATGATAGAGTCAGTGAGATTTAATAACGACGAGGTCGTGCTGTGACCAGACCTGAAACCCGACTGACATTGAGGAAATAAGTTATTCTGTTCAAAAAACTCCACCAGTTGAGAGTAGACAGCTTTCTCTAGTATTTTTGATAGAAAGCATAACAGGCTGATTGGTCTAAGATCAGAATGTTGCTCTGGACAATTGTGTTTGGCTAGTGGAATAATTATAGCATTTTTCCAGCTGGCTGGATAATAACCACTTTCAAGGCAGATATTAATATAATAATATCGTAATTGCTTCTCTAGCTTCGCAGGAAAATGTCCGATTTATGAAGGATTTCATTTCTTCTTTGATGTCGATTATTTTGAGCTGCATATAACATGGACTGACCGACAATATGCCTCAATACCGGATCATCAAAGAAAAGTTCAAATATACTAAGTGACATATAAATCCGAACACCCAGTTGAAATGGTTTTATTTTAATAAAATTTTTGACCTTTAATAATGTGTGGATGCACCCTGATGTGCTACGCATTCTCAAACGTGCCTAGGCATGCTTCTGATCAGGTGGTCAATGTCCTCCTGTAGTATCTCATTCCAGGCGACCACCAACTCCTCTCGAAGTGCTTCTAGAGTCTGAGGAGGACGTTACAAATTGAGCAATCTCCTACCCATCATATCCCACACGTGCTCAATTGGGGATAAGTCGGGAGATCTTCGTGGCCATGGTAACAATGTGACATCATTATGTTGAAAGAAGTCTATTGTGACTCTTGCAACATGTGGTCGGGCATTATCTTGTTGGAAAGTTGGATCTGCCACGGTGTCAAGATACGGTAAAAGATGGGGTTCTAGAACTTCGTGAATATAACGCTGCGCGTTCATGTTACCTCTGATGAAGATTAAAGCTGACCTGGAACCATAAGGTATAGCACCCCAAACCATAACTCCAACAGTGTGATGAACATGTCTTTCAACAAAAAACTGTGGATTCCTCCTTTCACCACGTGGCCTTCTAACCCTGGCACGACCATCGTGCATGCCTAAACAAAATCGAGACTCGTCACTAAAGACAATACTGTTCCATTCCTGATACCAGAGTGACCGTTGTCTGCACCACTCAAGGCGATTACTTCGGTGTTCTCGAGTTAAAGGGAGGACCCAGTGTGGCCGGTATGAAAACAAGCCAAAACTTTTCATTCGTCGGTAAACACTTCGCATGCCAATAGGTCTTCCGTGTTCTACAAACCATTCATTTGCAATGGACCTGGTAGTGGAGAAACGGTCCCTTAAGGCCAATAATCTTAGGCGGCGATCTTCACGGTCTGTTGTTCTACGGCGGCGTCCAGTGCCCCTTGCTCTTTGCGTACGGCCTTCTCGAAGCCATGCCTGACAACACCTAAGCACAGTGTCTACACTTTTTTGCACTCTAACTGCAATTGCCCGAAAAGAAGGTCCAGCTTCCCGAATTCCCACTATATGGCCCCTATCAAACTCACTAAGTTGACGAAATCGTACAGGTCTCCGTACTCTAGGCATCGTAACCGATCGTAAAGGATGTCAAGAACCAAAATCCGCCAACGTTGATTCTTTACTGCGGCTGAAATATTCATTTTTAGAGCGTTAGTGAATTAAAAAAAAGCAGTATAAAAACCGGAATGTCCAACTGATAAGGCTGAAAATTTTTTCACTTGTTATTTACAGTAAGATAAATAGTCACCAACTTTTATTAAAATAAAACCATTTAAACTGGGTGTTCGGATTTATATGTCACTTAGTATAGTTGTAGTGGATTTAAATCCTTTATCTCTTCCACTAGTTTATCCCTATTGGCATTCATTTCACATAACTGTGGCGGCTCAGACCAATTGGAATATTTAGCATTGCATTTCTCCCAGTCCAAGTTATCGTGTTTAGATTTATTTAGGTATTTTTATACGTTTTCGCACTTCACTCAAATGCTCTTCGTCGCTGCTTCAGAACTCGTCATTAGCTGAACTTTGGCGAAACAGCTATAAACGACCAGAAACATCTTGTGGCATTCCATTTGCCATCAGTTGGTTTTCGTCCAATTCCTCCTCGTCAGTCAAATAACGCGCGTCTGGAGGCAAGACCACAATATCATTGTTATCTTTTAAATCATCTCGAGCATCAGGCAGAAAATTGTAATACCTGTGTGTTTTAACAGGATCATCAAAAAACGGTTTATACATATCTAAAACAAAAAAAATAGCATTAGTCAAATGATAACGAATTTGCCCAGTGTTCTCATTTGAGTACAGTCAAACTTGAACATACATTCTAATTCTAATTACATCAAATCAGTTAAAATAATTTATGCCCGGCAAATCAAACAAACAACCTTTACATATACATAATATAAAAAGATTAGTTTATTAGATGGTCACCTCAATAAGAAAAAATTATGTAAAATTTGAACTTACCTTAGATCAAATAAGCAATAACTTCTATTACTGTAGTCAACGTCACACTCACAAAATTTATGAAAAATGGCTCTTGCGCCCTGTCGCATGTACCATCTACAAATGTTTATAAAAGGCAGTACTTCTGTGGTTGACTCAGAGATGGCTCTGATAGGAACAAACACGAGTGTCGTCGCTTGAGTACAGCGGGCGTTAACGGGTTAAATGATTATTTGAATAATGTTTTGTGGGGTTTTTGTATACTTCATGAGCCTATTCCAAATCGGCTGTCATGCTCGTGCCTAGATGAATCTTGCTTATTTTATTTATTACAATGTTGCTGGTATAAGGTGGCTTGTAAGAAGTAAGGTTGCCTACTATTATCCACGTTATCTCATATAAATTGTTTAACGGATATAATCTTGATTTATGGAAAATAGCTTATAAAACAGTTAACGTGCTATATCTAGAACAGAAATATAAATAATAAAAAAAATGCAGGTGGCCCCCCTAGGCTGTGATGCCGTATATAAAGAATAAACAATTCTGTACCACCGTTTGTGACGTTGTCGAGTTCCCGGCTTGGATAAGTTTGTGGGGTCCTAGAAAAGAAATCTACTCAGCCATGAAGCAAGACGTAATTTTATTTTTCAATATAATCTTCCACTGCATCAATGCACTTGCACCATTTCTCCTGCAGTGAACTTATTCGCCTTTAAAAAAATGTTTCCCCTTGACTTTCAAGAAAGTCGTCGGCGGCTGAGTCAAGACGGCATCTTGGAAGATTTTTTTTAGGTAATTAGGAGGCTATACTAAAGATAGTCTATCTCATCGAAGCTGCAATTTCTGCACAATTGGTCTAATGCAGGGTCGCATTGTCTTGCGGTAGAAACACCTTGCGATTTTCAGCGTGTTCGCATTTATTGTTGTCTCTTTTGGCATGTATTCAATAAGAAGGATGCCATTAATGTCCCAAAAAACGGTTACCATCAGTTTTTCAGCAGAGGGTGGCGTCCGAGGCTTTTGGGGGGATGGAGACCCTTTATGAATCGACTGCTTTTATTATCGTACAAGATCGTTATTACGCTAGGTTCCGATATACTCAATGTCATTCTGATGGTAGAGACTTTCAAACGACGATGCTTTCAACTTTTTGAGTCATATCACCAATTGTTGCTGTTTTGGGTCTTCCAATTCTGGGATCGTCTTCTATGGATTCACGTCCCCATCGAGACTGTTTGGATCAAAATTTTATTATGTAACATGACGGTGCATCATCCTCATAGACGACAACCATTGTCTCAAGAATTGTATTCGGTGACCTTGTCAAAGATTTTATGACATTGCGATATTCTAATTTTAAGTTATTAACCTTTCCGCACAATTCAATTCAAAATCAACTCAAACTATGCATGTAAAGTTAGAACACATGCCACTATTTGACATATTAGGCTAGCGCATTTCAATTGTTGTTTCACGGCTAGGTAGATTTCTTCTCTAGTGTCCCTCGGACCTTGCTCTTACATTCGAGGGGGTACCCAAAAAAAACTGGAAATACTTTTTAAAAGCTATTTATTTTCAACCTTATCTCCTCCAAAATACTGTCCATTACAACTAATACACTTGTCCCACCTGGACTTCCACTGCCCGAAACATTTTTTGAAGTCTTCCTTAGAAATGTCTGAAAGCTCCTCCCTCGTTTTTTTCTTGACCTCTTCAATGTCATCAAAGCCTCGTCTTTTCATGCTCCTTTTCATCCGTGGAAGTAAGAAAAAGTCGCACGGAACCAGGTCAGGCGAATAAGGTGGAAACTGTCGAACAGAGATGACTGGGTGCGCAGGTGCATCGTCGTGGTGGAAGAACCGGTCACCTGACTGCCAAAAATCGGATCTTTTTTGCCGATCGCTGTTTCGCATTCGTGTTGAAAGCTCCAAATAAAAGGTCTCATTGACATTGTGACCTGGGGGAACAAACTAGGAATGGACTACGCCTTTGGCATCAAAAAAACAAATCAGCACTGTTTTGATGTTTGATTTGACTTGACATTTTTTTGGACTTTGGCGTTTTCCATTGACTTGACTATTGCTTTGTTTCTGGGTTATAACCGTAGCACCAAGTCTCATCACCAGTGATGATCTTTGACAGAAAATTTGGATCACATTTAAGCTGTTGTTTCAAAGCACGACATGTTTCAACTCGGTGTTCTTCTTGATTGTCAGTCTCAGAACCCAGGAACACACTTGGCGGCAACTCTTTTCATTCCCAAATCCTCTGTTGAAATTCGCTGAACCGAAGTCCAGGACAACCCACTACTTTTGTATAGTTGATCGATTGTCGGTCGACGAGCAAACCACTCGTACACCTGAGTTTTTTCCCACAGCACCATCATTGTAAGCTATTTTCAACATTAAAACAGATTCAGCAGCATTTTTACCAATTAGAAAACAAAATTTCACAGTTGCACGTTGCTCACTGAAGCTTGCCATTGTAAAAAACGAAACAAGTATGAAACAGCTCTAGCAAAAATAATGACTACAGAGGAACGAAACAAGCCAGATCGACAACTCAGGTGGCGGTGGCACTGAACTGGTAACGAATTGCGCTGTACGCCTCTAGGGGCAGAAATGTGTACTACACAGGCTCCGCCCACTGCAAAGTTGTTCGAGTACGTTCTCGTATATCTCATTTTGTAAAGTTTTTTATTCGTTGCTACTGAAAAAAATGTCCGTACCATATATCTAAATAATCCACATTTTTATTAGTGTCTTGTCACAATACCGTTTTTGTGTAAAAGGTATACGATGTAAAATTACCAGAGCCTAATATAAAAGCAATTTTTTATGCAAACAGTTCTGCCCCTAATGTCTCAATTATTTGAAGCAACATTACCAGTTGGCGAGATTACGCAGTGACAAAGATTTCAGATCAACAAACTGACAAGAACTGGGTGACATGAATCTTCGTATTATAGAAATCATAAACTGGTATACAACTTCAAGACTGGATTCCTGTGGTTTAGTTTAATATTCGTAATCTACTAAGTTTAATATTCACCCGCTAATCTCCTCTCGTGGGTTTCGAATAGCCACTCAACTGGGCCAGTACATGTGGATATCGTCACAGATAGTGTACTGTTACTTACAGTAGATTGGTAATAAAATCTGCAACAAAAAAATTTAAATTGCAAATGTAAAAAGGTAATTTACTAAAAGTCAATTATTATTCAAATAGAGGCTTTCAAATGTACATTTATATTTTGAGGTATATGAGGTAAACGCCAGAAGAATGGGGCGACGGGGGAATTGGCATCTTTAGTTCACTCAAAGATCAGTTCAGTTAAAAACGGGAAAAGACACTGTTAGATGTAGATTATATCAAAATAAAGGACAATAGTGCGCGCGTCATCAATAAACACGAGCGGAAATAGAGGTATTCATGGCCCGAACGATGTACGTTTATGCTTATTAGCTTCATCAGGCTCAAATAGATATAAGTCGAAAACAAATAAGTGACAACATATGCTCATGACGTCTGGATACGAGTGTAGTATTAAGGAAAACGAAATTCAACTAGAAGCCGCTAACAAGAGAGAGCAGGCGCATTTGTGGCTTCGGTGAGAAGATATGGTATTTACGAGGTATCAACCAACGTCGCCACGCAGGACAGTAGTTATAGCTACCTCCCGTGGTTACTTCAAACCTATGAGTGAATATACAAAGAAAGCTCGAGTAGTCTTGCGGAAACTTAGATGAAAAATAAGACAATCTTGGCCATGTCCGTAATAAAGAAACAGGAGCAAAAAGAGATATAACCCGAGAGATGTACGTTTCTGCATATTGGCTTCATTAGGCCCAAATGCATGTGAATCGGAAACACCTGCCCATCACATCTGGATACAGGTGTAACTTGAAAGAGAACAAAAATGCTAAGAGACGTACACGTAGAAGCCACTAACAAGAGCCAGCAGTCACATTTGTGGCTTCGGTCAAAAGATCTCATGTTTACAAGGAATCAGGTACCATCAGTTACTCAGAGTTCTTCCCCAGGCTTCGGCCTCCCATTCTAACCGTGTCGAACTTTATACTTCCAGAGCTGGCCGATATGACCACTCCTTTGTCCCGAGGTATCTAGATTTTTGAAAGCGCTTTTACCAATTCTTCTAACCTTAGGTAGTTCGAAAATCGGATTCTCATAACAGCTGCGGTGGTGCCCTGGTATTTCGGCACCTGCCTACGCGGGTGTTTGTGTATTGAAAAAACAGCAGCATTATATAGGGGACAGTCACAGGTAATATATACATATGTATATAAAGAGAAAAGGATCATGCGGAGAAGGGTATATAGCAAAAAGAAGGAAAGTGGATTTGAGCAGAAAATAAGATAGGTAACCCAAGCGATACGTAATCTTGCTAGTTGGCTTCATCAGGCCCGAAATGAATGCACATATGCAACTACAGATGTAGATATATGTACATGCATTCGGATACGGGTGTAACCTGAGAAAACAAAATGATGGTGACTTCGTGTGTAATTTTTTCCCTCTCCATCTTCATTTCTTTTGGTTACACCCGTATTCGAATCTATGGGCATGTGTATCTACTTTTGTAGTTGCATATCGTAGTGTGAGATCAATATCGGAAGTCCGAGAAAATTGTTTTTGAGATAAGTGGATAAATTATGGCTACTGGTGTGTGAGCAAAACTATCCTAGCTCAAAATTCAATATACATGATATAATTTTACAGTTAAGATTGTACTATTATCCTTTGTAATCCGAAATCACATTGAATCCATACCAACAGTAGAATCGTATTACTTAAGGGCCCAAACAAAAAAAACGTACTTCGAGGGGAATTTTAATTTGAATACATTATACAAACTCTACGTAGAGATGTGCAGCAAGAAATCAGGTAAAACCTTTGCTAAATATCACCAATATGCCAAAACATTTAACTTTGGATATAATATAGGCTTTTATAAAAAAGGAAGGTATTCAAGAAAATTATGAAGAACATCTCCGTAATAAAACGGCTGGACGAGAAGAGAAGAAAAACGGTACTGCTCTAGCTAAAGAAAATCCAAATCTGATAATCGCGGTGTATGATATGGAGGCAGTTTTACCTACTCCGTGCTTTTTGGTCAGTGATTTTTATTACAAAAGTAAGCTTGCAACTCTAAATTTTACCATTTATAATATTCCAAATCGAATCGGCTATTGTTATGTATGGAATGAAACAATCGGAAAGCGAGAAGCTAACGAGATTGGCTGTTTCTTGATCCATTTTTTGAAGAACAATGATGGGTGTTCAGATGTTATATTTTATTCTGATAACTGCTCCGGTCAAAATAAAAATAGATTCATAGCCACAACATACCTCTATCTAGTTAATACAATGGAAAACATAAATACCATTACCCACAAGTTTTTGATTGCCGGTCACACCCAAAATGAGGGTGACAGTATGCATCTGCCATTGAAAGAGAGAAGAACAGAATGCTAAAAGCTAACAGCACCTATATATCTGCACAGTGGATACCCATCATCGCCCTTGCAAAAAAAAACTGGCACACCTTATGTTGTTAACAAAGTCCAACAAAGTCAAGTAGGAAAACAATCTTCCTAAAACACCAAAAATGAAAAAATTACATGGAATAACATTAAAATACTTCAGGTTAGAAAAGGTTCCCCACAAAGTATATTTTATAAAACAAGCTTTGAAGCAAAAACATTTGACGAAATTTCGATTAACCAGTCCAAAAGGAGGAAGGTGTCAGAGAGAAACTTAGTTCTTAAAAATGCCTTCAATGGATCTCCCGGCATAAGTAAAAAGAAAAAAGATGGCTTGCTATATCTTTGCAAGAAGCAGTTGATAAAAAAAGAGTATCATGAATTTTATGAAGCACTCTCAATTTCAAAGACTCGGAAACCGAGTAATCATCAGCACATGGGCCTGTATGTATTGTATTGTTTATTGCAACGTTATCTACTAGTGCATTGTATTGCTTATTTTCAAAAATTTTGCATATTATTTTCATTGAGTAAGCAGTATCATATGTGACTAATTTTGTATCATTACCTCCTGTACCTGTATCTTAACATCAAATATCTCATTATCAGTCAGTTAGTTATTGAAACTCAAAAACATCTACTGACACAAGTTTATGTAAGTGAATTATCTGAGTTTATCGTACAGCATTATTTTAAACAGCACCGTTACAAAAAAAGGTCAAATATATTAGGCGAAATAAAACATTGATTATCTCAAAATCTACTATTTTTGTCATACGATTGTATTGCTCCCATATGTGCATCCATTTCGAGCCTGATGAAGCCAACAAGCAGAAATACGTATCGCTCGGGTTACCTATCCTATTTTCTACTCGAATCCACTTCTTTTCTTTTTGCGGATATATATATATATATATATATATATATATATATATATATATATAAGACAGAACTATGCGAAAAAAGGTTATATAACAAACAGAAAAATAATGGAGAAAATCCGCAAAATGAAGGAAAGTGGATTCGAGCAGAAACTAGGATGGTTAACCGGAACAATACGTATTTCTGCTTGCTGGCTTTGTCAGGCCCTAAACAAATCTTAATGAAAATTATTTTTTCGCATAAGTACTCTGGCTTAAACTTAGTTAAAATTATATGGATAAATGTGGAAAAATGTAACTTCACAAACTGGTCAATCCTTAGCCATCTCAACTCCGCATATTTATGGGATACATGGTCGAACTTTCGCATGCCGAATATGAAGCTTTGAATCAAATATATTCTGTGTTTAGTGACCTGAACCAAACAGGGAAAATGTAGGATACTACAGTAGTTCAAGACAGACACAACCGAGGCCTCGCAAAGTTTTTTCCTGATTTTGAAGTTTAATGGATATCTGTTTGAATAAAGGCTACGTAAATATGCATAGGTCTTTTGCGTCAGATTTTTTACATGCTCAGTGAATCTCTATTTCATATCACGTACTACACCCAATATTTTAGCGTTATTGATGAGCTCAATCTGCTTATTGTCTACAGGGTTTGTCCGGAAAGTAATAGGTCTCATTTTCTTCCGCCATGAGTGTACTTCGGAGCATGCGCGCACCGACTGGATTCGGTAGAGGGCGTTCCTAGCTAACGAATGAGCGGCTGGTCAGTTGTCTGCGAGCACTTGGAGAGTCAGTACAGGCATTTTCGCGCGGCGTGTTTCTGTGAGTGGTGCAAGCCGAAAATGCAGCGTTCGTTAGAGCAGAGGTACGCGATTAAATTCTGTGTGAAACTCGGTAAATCTGCGACAGAGACGTTTGATATGATCAAACAGGCTTACCCAGGTGTTGCTTTAGCAAGAAGTGGTGTGTTTCGGTGGCACCAGGCATTTTTGGAGGGCCGGGAAGGGGTCGCTGATGAAGACCGTGCTGGAAGACCTTCGACTTCGACAAACACCGATAATGTGACTCGTGTGACTCGAAAGTTTTGAACTCAGACCGTCGACTAAGTATTCTTTTAATTGCCCAGATAGTTAAATAAAAGTTAAATTTACCAAAATCTGTGGTTCATGACATTGTGACACAGCATTTAAACATGCGCAAGGTGTGCGCGCAGATGGTCCCAAAAGTGCTCACTGACGACCAGAAATTGCGGCGAGTGGAAATGTGCCAAGAAAATTTGAACATGTGTTAAAGTGACCACCAATTTTTGAATAACTGAATCACAGGTGACGAGTCGTGGATCTTTGAGTATGATCCAGAGTCAAAGAGGCAATCTTCCGAGTGACACACGACTGCGTCTCCTCGCCCAAAAAAGGTAAGAATGAGCAAATCCAAAGTGAAAACAATGCTCATTGTCTTTTTTGACATCAAAGGCATCGTCCACCATGATTTTGTTCCTCCTGGACAAACCGTCAATGCCAAGTTTTACGTGGAAGTGCTCAGGAGACTCAAACGAAGGGCCAGTCGGGTCCGACAAGACATCGCAGCCGACTGGAACTGGAACACGACAACGCCCCGGCTCACACCGCCTTTCTTGTGAACAGCTACCTGACCAAGGCCGGCATCCCAACGCTTCCGCAGCCGCCCTACAGCCCAGATGTGCCCCTCCGGACTTTTATTTGTTTCCTCGCCTGAAAAGGCCGATGAAGGGCAAGCATTTTGAGAA